CACAGAACCGTGCCTGTGATCCGATGGCCACTACAGCGCCACTTCCGCTTGTGTAATGTTGAAGTGACGAGGCTAACACCCTCTAAACTCTAAGCCGAACCCGATAAAAGTCTGAACCCAAACTAACGCAGCACAAGTCCCTTGTCCCACGCCCTAACCATCCGTGAACTGGAAATCCCAAACTCCAAAGCCACAAACCCTCTGCACCCTGCACTCTAGAGCTTTAGACCCGGAACTCTTCATCGATAACCCTATCCTACAAAAACCTAACCCTACCTGGAGGCCTTTAATACCCTTCCCTAACCCTCCAGGTACCTACTACTATATAGGGCCCTAGGGGCTCTGGTACCCTATATAGTAGGTACCTGGGGTGTTAGGGCTTCATCCTGATTCTGCAAAGCCCCAAAGCCTTAATCTCCCGTCCCTTCTCTGAACCCCAAACCCTCGTTTCCCCCCCTTTTTTTTCTGGGCAAGAGGCCGCTTCCCTTCTGCAGGCTCTGGCTTCTTCTGTCGCTGGATGACCTTCGTTCGTGCAGTTTTTCCCCGGCGTACATGCATAGGGGTTCTGTCGGAGGTGGGTGAGACGGTGAATGGTCGGTGGGACGTGCAGGTGTGTGGGTCCCGGATCCTTTCCTTCTCGTTCAGCATCATGAGTCATGAAGCTACGAGGGTTAAGGGCTTGTAGGGTGAAGGTTTGACGGGGAATTGAACTTGGGCATTACGTACTTAGGTCAGGCCAGGAACCAGCAAACTCTTGCTCCAAAAGCTTTGGTATCAGCATTCGCAACCCGAAACACGCATACTTATTTGCAGACAGACAGGTTCGCAGGCCGCACGCCAGTAGACAAACAAAACGAAAGCTTTGCACTGAGAATCTGGCAATCCAGGGTTTCATCTTCTCTCTCCAATACTTCTCTGCCTGAGGGTTAGTTTGGGTTTAGGGTTTTGGGCTTCGGGCAACCTGGTTTCTGTCTGAGGTATCCGTTTGATAAGTAGTGCAGACTTGTTCCTATTTTGTCCGCGTGTGCCAGTTAATGGGGCAGCTTCGACGAATGCTTTTTGCAAGGTTCAAGCTAGCTGAAGGCCCAGCTGCATCCCAAACATTAGCGGTTTCAACTCTCACAACGTCTTACGCTCTGTTTAGGGCTTGGGCTGTGCGGTTTGGGGCTTCACGCCGCCAAGCTTACGCACGAACCTGTCCTCGGCGCTCTTGGTGCTCGCGATGCAGTCCCACACTTTCAAGCATTCTACGTGACAGTCCTGCTTGTCAAACATACATGTCGGGGCTCCATAGGAGTCTTGAGGCAGTGCCCCCAGGTGCGAGAACGAACGTTGGGCTTTGCACGTATGTGTACAGACACACACACACACACACACACACACACATATATATATATATATGTATATATACATATATACACAAATACCCCTTATTATATATGCATGAGGGAGGAAGGGAGGTAGGAAGGTAGGTAAGTAGGTAGGAGGCTGGAAGGCAGGTAGTTAGGTAGGCAGGCAGGAATGGGTAGGCAGGTAGGTGACGTCTGTTTTATCTTTTCAATCCTGCTGCGACGTAGATATCGTCTGTTGGGTCTTCGCCTTCAAGATTAGCAACATCGCTCCTGCAATCGCATCATGTAGTGGATCGTCAAGCAGATATGCTGTGCGTTGTAGTTCGTTGGTTTCATGATTCAGACCTAAGTGTTTCTGGGAACCCTCATGACCGGCCTCTTCTGCTGACATCTTCTCACCGTACTTGGCCTGTGCCACGGCAGAGGTGGGAAGGGCAGAAGCCTTCTGGAACGCAGAGCCCTTCCAAACCCCTGCGCACAAGACTTCCGCGAACCCACCTGCACAGGCTACAATCTGCATCAGACTCTCTTGGCAGGCGGCTCGAACATGCTTTGGAGACCTAACCCTATGTAGGTCCTGTGCTCTATAGTAGTACCGACATATTGGTCTTGGTCGTTTCAGTTTTCCGGGGCATGGTCTGGTCCAGCAATTTCGTGGGGAACAAACGTGTGTCCACAGAGGACGGGGTCCCGTGTCCAAAACCTAAACCTTAAACCCTGGATAACTTAAACTTTACACTCTAATCAAATACCCTAAGCTCTACACCCGAAGATCGATTTTTGACGCTCTTGAGGAAAGCCTTGAGCTCATCGAAGGTATAGTACCTGAAGGGCTTCGAGTTTGGGAGTCTGCGTTCGGCCTTGGTGTTGCAAGTCCTACGTACCTGGCTACCGTTTTGAGGGTGCATATACTTTTATATGAAAAAGTATTTCTTAGTAAGGACCGGGAATCTGAAGTGCACTCGGAAGATTCAAGCAATTTGACTAGCAAGTCCTCGCATCACTTGAGGACCGTCGCATGCACACATGTAGCGCACTTCTCGTCATCGGGGTCGTGCCGCTTGTCGATGGGGTCCTGGGTATGGAGATTCTTGCTACTCTCATGGAGGGCCCGTCAAAAAGGATGGTACTCGTAGTAGCTTCCAGGGCCTAGCGTCTATGGCAGCGGTTTCTCCCGTACAAGCGTTGGATTACAGCTGCAGGCCTTTCCAGCTAAGCCAGGCAGCCTGCATGCTGAAGGCTGAGCCCGGCGTTCCACTGCCCATCTTCACACGAACTTGAGCATGGGATACACTGCATGACCCTAGATTCAATCAAAAATGTTTCCGGTCTAAACAGCACTTTCAGAAACCCGGCCGCAAAGTGACACTCCTTCAGCTGTAGCGTCTCACTGACCCAGACACCTGTGATCTGACCCCAGCTTTAGAGAGCAACATTTCATACAGTGGCCTTCTCTATTTCAGGAAGGTTTTGTGGTTCAGAGTATGCTATAATTATAATAAAGAACCCCTAAGGTAGCACCGGTAATTATTTAGGCCCTATATTATATTATCGGCCCTTGAATAGCATCTCCCCGAGGGCCGAGCGATGGGGCCTCCATCGTCTTTCCACTCTTCAGCCTTAGCCACAAGCCCCGCAACACAGCACAAGACTGCTGCCTAGAGAGTGGGGCGACAATGATGTGGGAGAACCCTACAAATCTCCCCAAATCCCAAACCCCATTCCGAACCCCTGAACCCAATACCCAAAACATCCCGAAAACCCTCAGCCCCCGTCCGTCTTGTTGCTCTCCTTTTCCTGCCTCTGACCTTTTGAAATGCTAATAACGATGGCACACGGCTGCCTTCAACAGATTGGCGCCCCGACAGGGCATGTAAAATACTTCGGCTTGGGGATCCCTTGGATGTGAAAAAAAAGGTTTAGGGTTTAGTGTACTACAAACATGACCACTAATATTAACGCTGCTATGAAAAATCTTGGTCTGACCATCCCCGTGGCTAACATGAGCGCAAGAAAAGCCTGCAAGCTTTCAATGCACAGCTGCACTCGGGGCTTGGACTGGCGGTGGTGCCTTGGCCTCGGGGCGGCTACATACAGGCTTTGGATCTAGGGTTTAGGGTTTAGGGGTTTAGGGTTTAGGGAATTCTTCCGGCATTTTAGGGTTCTTCGGGCACCGGGGGCTAGGGGCTTTACAGGGGCTCGTGAGCGCGTTTTCGCTTGGCTTTCGCTCCTTGCTTTCGCTGCGTAGACACACTCCAAGTTGTGGCCTTTGGAAGGGCCTTGCCCAAAGGGTCTAAGTACTTATATGGTAGATACTTTGGGGCCCAAAATATCTACTATATGGGTACTTAGACCCTTTGGGTAGGTTCTTTTAGTGTAAAGCGGGAAGATAAGAAGTGGCAAGCTATTGTAAGGATCTCCGGGGTAGATCCAAACAGACTACGAGCACGCACAATGACAAGTAATTAGCTGTTTTTCTGGACTCAACTTAATGCACACATCCACGTGAAAATGCCGGCACGTCTGCAGACCACCTATTTACATGCATAGATCATCAGATGACTACACAAACCGACGGCAAACAGACAAACAGATAGACAGACAAGCGACCGGCAAATAGCGCGAGATAGATAGATGGACAGACAGATAGATGCATGGTACACCGATAGATAGGTCGATGGGTCGATAGATAGCTAGATCGATAGATACAGAAATGAGCAGATAGAAGGTGTTTCTCTCTGTCCAGTGCATGTATATATATATATATACACACATGTACACATACACACACACACATATTTATTTACACATGGTGTGTGCATGTGTAGATTTTACCCACATATATATGAACAAGTGTATGCATGAACGAACCGATTATCATCGCTGTTGCTCATGCCTGTGTGAGTGTGTATGTTAATGTAACACGCAATTAACCATTATCCTACGACTGTGCAATGCATGCATGTGCTTATCCGCCGCAGCATTGGCTCGCATTGATCGCGCAATGACCATTCGCAAGCATCGTTTCACTGTGGGGTACCGTGCTGTTCGTTGTCCAGCTGGGTGACCAAGCGTTTGCCAGTATCCATCATGTTGAGGGTTTTGTTCCAGGTTTGATCCCTATTAAGTGTTAAGACTGACAGCCAATCGTATAGCCCATAGGCTGTATAGGCAGTCGTGGAATGCATTGCATTGACTTGAAGTACGGCGGTCCTTTTTGGCCAGCTGCACTGTTCTCCCAATCACTCAAGCCCACTGTGGGGCCGATCGCCCTGCTCTTCGCGATCTCACTTCCTGAACCTCAGAGGGGCTCAGAGAATAGCTACCAAGCCCAAACCCTGATACCAAGACTGTTTCGAGAGCCCTTTCTGGCATTATTCGGGTTTCACTTGTGGCTTTTTGAAAGGTGACAGAGAACGAATCAGCTAGTTCTCTCAATGCCTGGAGCTTACCTGATTCTGCCGCAGCCAAGGCACGTCAGCAGTCCCTTCTCCTGTTGAGGTTGCAAGAATTATTCGCTGCGCATGGTTCACGTTTTATTCATGGCTGGGCACACTTGGACAGCCAAAGCCACTGTCGTGTCCGGTGCAGCCCTGCGATTGCGCAGCATCTGCCACATTTGCCGACAAGACGCATGCAGCAGTCGGTTCAAGCCTCGGCGCAAAAAGATCTGCCTAGGGTCACTATTTCAAGCAGATAATAACATGCACCAGTTGAGGGTACAGCACCTTGCCGAAATCCCGCAGAGGGGTGGGGGTGAGGGGGAACCACACCTAAATCTTTGAACAAATGGTCAATGCCCCAGCTCTGCCATGTGCAGCACCAGCTACATGCGTCGCTCTCGCCCCTCGCGCGGATGAAGCCCGCAAGCGCAAACGTCTCGAACTCACCGGTGTACATGCCGTTCTCATCAACCTGACCAGACCCGCAAATGCAGCTAGCAGCGTTGCAATTGAAGCGTCGATGGGCCTGTCCGACGTTCAGCTGCACTGCTCCATGCTCCTGGTGATTGAAAAATCTTCACTATAGAGTTGCCGGATTTGAGGTAGGTTTAGGGTCTTCGTGCTCTCCACCTTCTACGCCATGTGGCACTTTGTACACTCCAGCGCCAGCTGTCAACCAGCAAGGAATGATTGCTGTACGACTTTGACGTCCTTCGCGGCAATGAGACGGTTCGTGGCCGAGCACTTGCCTGGGACGAAGCTACAGCTCTTCAGTGCTATATGTCACCAGCTAAGTGTTAGGGTTCGATGTTTAAGGTTCCGGCTTCGCCGAGGGGTCACATGCAAAAAACGAGCTGAAGAGTATACTCACTTCATTTCACCTCGCTGCATCAACCGGCCAAGCAACAGCAACACTGCAACGACAGCAGCAGCGGCAGCAGGAGGACTAGTAACTAGAAGTAGTTGTTGTTGTTACTGACTTCGGCATGTTTCTGACATCCTTCAACACCAGAAGCCAGGACACGGGGGATGTAAAGGTCGACGACGCGGCCCTGCCAGCACTTTGCGGACCAAAGCTATCAAACATGAGTATACAAGTGTGAAAAGTGTGTGTGTGTGTGTGCGAACATTATATGCATAATCATGTAGATGTACATGCTGCTGCCGACCACCATTTCGAACAACAGATCTCCGAAGCGGGGTGATCAGCCGCAAGAGCTTGCGAGGGGCATCGATTCGACAGCCTCGTCGTTCTGCATAGCTGGAGGCGGGTGTGGAGGTGTGCGGGGTATCTCAGCTACTGGCCGGCCTGGGTCCTTTTTGAGCCGAAACACGGAGAGTGCTTAAGGTTTTGCACTTTTGGGGTTTATAGGGTTTCGGCTCCATGGCTTAGCTTTTGGGGGTCAATCTGGGGTTTATAGGGCTTCGGCTCCAGGGTTTAGGGTTTAGGGTTTAGGGTTTAGGGTTTATGGTTTAGGAAGAGTTTGGGGAGCTGCACCCAGTCTTGCTTGACACGGTGCAGGTTTGAGCAGCACCAAGCCTGTGGACTTACTTGCTTGCACTGCTCAGGTACAAAGTTGGCAAACTTCAAGACCAGGAAGCCGGATCGGGCAAACTCAGATGTTCGAAGCGTTATGTGGGGGTTTCCGGAAATAGGGGACCCTAATATAGTACCCTAAATAGTAGGATCCTTATTATAAAGACCCCAAAATTTTCGGAAACTCCCATGTGGGAACCTGGCCGAAAAGAAGGCTGGTCCGAAACCTCAAAGAGCAATCGAGTCCATTTACTAAGAGCTCCAATACAAACTACGGGTGTCTGAATGAGGCTCTTTCATGAGCAGAATGCCTACCCATAGGCCCTAAAGTCGTTCCTTCTTGGGACTTCATCTATAGAATCCTATAAGGTAACCCCAAAAAGGAACTACTATGGGGCCTATTCGACTCCCTCCCTGAATGCTCTCAGGATCTAGGTAGTATCATTAGGGGGAACCCTTAAAGGGCACCCCTTCTGAAGCCTACTTTTGGCTCTCTGAAAAGGGAGCTTATTGAGAGGGACTAGATCCCCAAGGGTCCCCCTAATCCTAGCTCTTAGGATCCCCGCAGCACATCTGCGACTAGGCCTTTTTTTCGCGGCGGAAACCTTGCCAAAGGTCAAGTTTCCGCCGCGATATGTAGGTCAGCTTAGCAGCTCGAAGTGTGATTCCTGTGATTCCTGAGGGATAAGCATATGCTTATGCCATAAGACCCAACAAAATCTTGGCCCTATCGTTGTGCGCTGTAGCGTGCGGCGGTCCTTTTCTTGGCCAGCTGTGCTGCTATCCCAGTCGCTTCGACTCACCATGTGGCCGTTTGCCTCCTCTCTTGACCTTCTCATTTCCTGAACCTCAGCATTCAGCAAGAAGTTCTAGGATTATCATTCCACGAGAGTATCGTGACTTCTTTTTTTCGGACATGTCCTGGTGTTGCCTAACCCAAACCTGACCAAGTCCTTCTATGGAGCCCTGAAGCGATTCTTCATAGACGGGTTTTCGCAAGTAGCTGGACAGTCAGAAGGTGACGCTTGGATGTTTCAGAGATCTCGGGCGTCCCCTTCTGGAAGGCTCAGGGGGCCCTACAACGAATCTCCGCTTATGTAGACCCGGGCTCCCGTATCTTCTGAAGCGCGCAGCTTGGCAGGTCAGCTTGCAGTGCCTCGCTGGCTGATGGTGCTCCGTTGCAGCTTGGGCACGTCAGCAGCCCCTTCTCCTTGCCACGATGCACGAGTTTCGTAAACCCTACACCCCCAAACCTCTAAACCCCTAAACCCCTGAACCCTAAAACCCTAAACCCCTAAACCCTTAAGTTACCACGAACAGAACACACAGCGTGCCAGACCCTGCCCTTGAAAAGAGGGGTCACCCAAATCCAAGAGGCCCGAAACCCCGAGCACGGGCCCTAAAAGGCCTACCGACTCCCGAGGCAGATCCTGGAAGCTACTATAATATTATAAGGATCTCAATAATTAGAATCGGGTTTTGGGGCCCATTATACTATAGCTATTATAAGGAACTCCCCCCCAAAATAGTGCTGGTAATAATTATTTTGTGCCCGTACACATACTAAGTCCAACCTCGCGACCCTAAACCTTAACCGCACACGGCGTGTGCCCAAACTGCACAGGCAAGTGGCGTGGAGCAGTCGATTCAAGCCTTCGCTGGGCTGCTTCGGGTGCTTCGGGTCCTGTAGTATCGGGGCCCTAGCAAGTTTAGTCTCACATAAGCTATGGGAACTGTAAGAAGATAGTAGTGCTGAGTACTTCACAGGGTTTCACAAGGCCGTCGGTTCAGAAGCCTCAGACGCTCTGCCAGGTGCAACACAAGCTGCATGCGTCGCTCTCGCCCCGCGCACGGATGAAGCCCGCCAGCGCAAACGTCTCGAACTCACCGGTGTACATGCCGTTCTCATCAACCTGACCAGACCCGCAGACGGAGCTAAAGCGTTGCAATTGAAGCGTCGGTGGGCCTGTCCGACGTTCAGCTGCACTGCTCCGTGCTCCTGAGGTGTGTTCGTAGTGCTTCCAATGATGCAGCTTTGCATTTAATCAAACCTCAGAAGCTGAAAGTTTCTTACGGAGCGATCCTTCCAGGACGTTTCTTTGGCTCAAGTCTTCAGTGGTAAGGCCCAGGTGCTCAAATGCAGGGACCGTATTGAGTAGAAAAGGGATTCGCATCTTAAGTCTTAAGTCTTACACTGTACTTGTAATAACGGAGCCTCAATAATTGATTTAGGGTTTGGGGTCTATTATACTATATTTACAGTAAGGAACCCACCAAAACCCTCTTCTAATGATTACAAGGCCCCTACATTCTACAAGGACTAGAAGGGATACTCTGATAACTATGCCGACCCTTTTGTTGAGAGACTTTCCCATGCGGGCGCTCTGACATCGAATCCATACTCGACCAAAGACCCTGAACCTAGAGGTCGCCGTAATAAGGACCCCACTGTACTGAATTTGTGTTGGGGGTCCCGTGTTTCTGCCACTCTACATGTATTCCCTGACTAGTTGACATAGATTCGATGGCCCAACCCAAGAAGCAGCGGAACGGCTCGAATGTCCTTGGCGGCAATGAGACGGTTGGTGGCGGAGCACTTCCCTCGGAGCCAGGTTTGCGCAAATGGGGGTTTCCGAAAATAGGGGACCCTAATATAGTACCCCAAATAGTAGGATCCTTATTATAAGGACCCCCAAATAAGGTACCCTAATTTTCGGAACCTCCCAAATCTACACAGCAAGATTAGGGCACCTTAGACACCGGCCTAGCCACCCCAGCGACATTTCTCTGCTGCGCACAGGGTTGCAGGCCCAGAGTGACCCCATAATGTAGGGGCCTTAATAATTAGAACAGGGTTTTGGGGGCATATTATACTACAACTAGATAATAAGGAAAAACTAGTATAGGTAAGTACTAAGGCCCCTATATTAGTGCTTTCCTTCCCTCTGGGCAAACATGTTGCGCATAGCACCGGCCAGGATCCGGAGACCGGGCTCATGCTAATGCAAATCTGATACTCCTGCTGGTCCTTCTGCGACGACGACCACTCCTGCTGCACTACTACTCCTGCCTACTCTGGCAAAACCGCAATCGCAGTTTTCCTGGACAAAAACTGACGTCTCAGCATCAGAAACGTTTCTAGTTCTGCCCTAGGCCCTAGGCCCTGAACCTAAAAACCCGCCAAACCCAAAAACCCTACACCCCAATGGTCAAACCCTAAACCCCAATGGTCCATAGTTAGCAACATCACGGCACATTACCACGTGCCAGGATGCTGGGGATGTAAAGGTCCACGACGCGGCCCTGCCATGCCAATGGGCCCCGTGTCAGCCGAAAGCACAGAAACCAAGCCCTGATCAGCGCTCATCTGTTCCTATAAAGAGATAGATAGATAGACAGATAGATAGCTAGATAGATAGTTAGGTACATACATAGGCGTGTGCATATGTACATTTATGTACATGGAGTGATGCATCCATCTACCGTTCAATCTACCTTCCCGTCTATCTACCTACTACTAGATATATACATATCTAGCTGTCTACCTATCTACGTATCTATCTATCTATTTATCTAGATATCTATCTATGCATACATACGTACATGCATACACACACATACATGCATGCATGCATGCATGCATACATACATACATACATTATACATACATCACATACATACATACATACACACATACAGACAGACAGACAGACAGACAGACAGACAGACAGACAGACAGACAGACAGACAGACAGACAGACAGACAGACAGACAGACAGACATACATACGACATCGTGTGTATGCGTATACAGGGAAACAACATTCGCATTGTGTATGTGTAGATTTATAGATGAGCATTCATACGTATACTCGTACATACCTAAATGCTAACCGATATATCTGCGTATATATATACACACACGTATCAGGTATACAAGTTGTTTATGCTCACATTCATATTCCGCCGTTGGCCCTTGAAAAGACCTAGTCATTGTTCTTGACTGAAGTAATTACTACTGCCCAAACCCAAACACATATTAAATCTCCCAGCGGTTCTGCACTGACGGCAAGCAAGGCCACATACACAGTATGCCGTGTAGAATGAACCCCTCCGCCCCCCTCAGCATAGCTCCAAGTGCTCGTGATACATGTAAGAAAGGGGCGTTAATAATTAGAATAGGGTTTTGGGAGTTTTTGGGCCAATACTGTAGTGAACATAAGGAACACCCAAAATAATATGGGAAATTATATAGGCCCCTATAATGCGCAAGCTATCAAGTAAACAGGAAACCGGCTCAGTGCACGGCCTCGTCGTTCTGCATGGCTGCTGCTGAATGCGGAGGTGTCGGGGAATCTCAGCTACTTGCTGGCCTTGACCCTGTGAGCCGAAACAAAGACCGGGGTCTTTCCGGCCTCCCTCATCCCATTCCTACGCGGGTTCCATAGTCCCACAGACCTGCGAGATGACGGTGGACCAAGCTCGACGAGCACATTAGCTGTGGCATCCGCGAATCTATGCCATAGCAAGACAGGCAAGCTTTAACTTACATGCGGTGACAAGGCACACTCAAAGTTACAAGGGCTGCTGCCAGCCACCGATAGCAATAGAAACTTGAGATCTGAAGCTCCCCAAGCCATCCGTGGAATCCTCGTAGAACCACCAAAATCCTGTTCAGCTTGGGCTGCTGCACGGCTGCGGCTGCGGCTCCGCTGTCTGCGCC